CACAGTTTGGTGGAAACAAAAGGGCCCTTCCAACAGTGTTTGGCATAATGGAGTCCACCTGGTGTGCACCTTGACTTCTGGCCTCACCATGGGGTCGGTCCCGCTGAGGCTAATAGAGGAGCTGCCACTGAGCTGCCCTCTCCCCCATTCCTGAGAATATCACCCCTTGCATGTAAAGTACCCAGTTCCTCAAGGGGAGATAGGTCCCACCCCCACCCCAAGTTTTTTGACTCTTGGTGGGACCCTGGTTGTGATATAGTTGAGCAAACTGAATTTTCTGCCTTTTGTTATTTTTCTTGCTTAAAAAAAATACAAAGCTTGGATGAAGACTTCCTGATTATCTGAAAAATAGATAAATGAAGACTGAGCAGGACTTAACTGATTTTCACAGAACACGCTGCTATAACCTAGATTACTCTCAGTAAAAATTGGTCATTTGATTTTAATTCCTACAGATATAGCTGAAATCATATGTAATTAATAAAGCCACTGTTGATTTTTATTAAACTCTGACTTGTGTTTCTAGACTAAATAAAAGGAGGGGGGAGGCAGCACTATCTTCTTCCTGCTTGACTTTTGAATCTTCACAGCAAACCCAGCGTATGCATGAAGCAGCCAGAAAAGCTGAAGATCTGGCAATAATTTGATGAGGATGCAGGGTTAAGTATTTATAAGAATAGGTGCAGTTTTGTAGTGTCAAGACTACCTTCTGAGAAAGGAGTATGGCAGCTGTGATGTGTGGGGTGGGTGGAAACAGACTCTGTTTGCTCTGGAGAGGGAAATTTATAATGGATGCTGGGAAAAGCCTTCACTAGGGAAATGGTCTGGTTGACTTAAAAAATTTCAGCTGGAGCTTTGTTTAACTTGGTGACTTTCATGCTGGCAGCTAAAGCCATTGATAGTAGTTCCCTAATCCACCATTTCACTTGCCATGTTCTGAAAATATTGTAGACAAAAAGATATTTTAAGAGCAAGAGAGAGACACCATATTCACATAACTTTTATTAAAAGGCATTGTTATTATTACCATGCTGTATTACTTATTAAAGTTTTTGTTTTCTTACTGTGCCTAATTTATAAATTAAACTGTTACAGGTTAGAATAAGAAAACTAGTATGTAAGCTTAAGTACTGCCTGAGATTTCGGGCATTCACTGAATGTCTTGAAACCTGTCTCCAGAGATGTGGGGAGACCCCATCATTTTCAAAGAAGTTTTCAAGTATCTTTCCGTGTCAGAGAATTTTCTGGCAGAAATTGCTGCCTACTGTCAGAGCTTTCCTTCTGTTATTTGAGGGGCCCACCTCATATTCTCTCATACATTTCTTTGTATTTCTTCCTATTTTTTTATTCCCTCCTATAAAAACAAGTCTGGCGACTATCATTGTGACTTGACATCATCTCCTTAGAAATCTATTTCTTGATTTAGTAGCTATAAGTAATGTCTTTGTGCTTCCTCTTCTCTCCCACATTGTGTTCTGATTATTGCTTGATGAATTATTGGCTTTACATTGTTTGGATTTGTGACATCAGTAGTCTTTTCTAAAATACAGTGAAATCTCTTATAGGGTGGTAAAAATGGAAAAGCCACTTACCATAGCCTCCAGAATGATGGGGTGTGGATATTTGCACTGTTTAACCCTCTGCGAAAGCATAGACTTACCTTGACATGGAAGCCTTACAACTACGGGAGACATTCCCAGCCATTAATGCGTGATGGGTCTTCTTTCACTTGTCTTGCTTTCTTCTTTTCAGGTTCATACTCATCTGCTATGACCACTTACATTCAGGTTAATATTTTCTTGGGATCCATTCTTGTGTTTGTTTGTTTTCTTGTGTAATTTTGCATGGCTGGGCATTCAGAGAATTTTTTTTAAAGATTTGTTTATTAATGCATACAAGAACTGGAGTGAAGGCCAGAGATATTGGGGGTGGGGGTGGTGAGAGCATTTACCAGAGACATCATGGGGAACAGAACAGCAGATCTATTGAAATACAGTGCTGAGAGGAGCAGCGGGTGAGACAGGAGAGTTCTGCTGTGCCATGTATGTCACCTCCCTGACTGAGGCTTGAACTTGAGCTGGAGTGGCAGCAAAGTGCTTAATAGTACTTTTAACATAACACGAGGGAGGTCTCAGAGAAGATTTTTGACCTAGATCTGTTTTGAAATGTTTCTATTCAGTTATCACTTTTAATTTTAGTTTTAAATGGGTATAAACTCCTAGTTTCCAAAATTTTTGTTCATCTGGTCTTTAAAGACATGATTCTGCTGACTTCTAGATCCAATATTGATCACAAGGCGTCTGGTGCCAGTCTAGCTCTACACAGGATTCTTCCTTCTCTCAGAACCTTTACAACGGTCTCTCTGCCAATGGCATTTATGTTGATTTCTTAGGGCATTGGACAGCAGTTTGTCTCATCTGGGTGAGTTAAAATCCCAGACATGGGGCTCTCCTTGGTGGCACAAAGGGTAAAAGCACCACATTATGAAGCTCTCCGAAACCACTGCAGCAAGAGTTTGGTCCTTGGTCTGTTTCTGGTGAATCCTCTCACCCACCACACCTCTGGCCTGTACCCCAGTTCTATAAGCATAAATAAATAAATCTTTAACAAAAAACCCCAGAAATGACAGTTCCATCACGAAGGTGTCAGCAGCACCATGCTCTGTCTGAAGCTCGGAGGAGGAGTCTGTTCTTGCCTTTCCCATAGTTTCTGGTATTGGCTGGCAGGCTGTGCCAGTCATTACCTTGAAGCTTCCTAAATCCAGTGTCTTCCCCCAGCTTTCTATGATGTCTTCACTCTGTATGTGTCTCTTCCTCTTCTCCCGTTTAACAAGGGTGCCAGTTGTTTTGGTCTGGGGTCACTTAATTTAGCGTGACCTCATCTTAACTTACTACATTGGCAAACACCCTATTTCCACGGTAGGTCACATTCACAAGGGCTTGTTCTTAGGACTTCAACATACATTTGGAAGACACAGATCACATAATAGCACTATAAGGCTTTACCAGTGTCCAGCTGATATGCTTATTTAATTCTTTGTACACAGTGGACCTTTCAGTTTGAACACTTATTCTTTCTTTAGTTCAAGGACATTGTCTTATTTTCTTAATCATTTCTTTCCTTCTGTTGTTTCTGCCCAGAATTTATATTTGTTAGATACTTGATTTCGTGGAGGACCATCCCTATTTCATATTCTGTTTTCCCTCTATTTGTGATCTTTCAGCTTTAAATTTTAGAAGATTCCTTCACTTCCTCCAGTTATCAACTTTGTGTTTATTTTTGTCCCTTGTCAGCTTTTTTTTAATGTTGACTTGTGCAATCATATTTTAATTTCCAGTATTTCTTTTGTTTTGCTAACATTACGGATACAGTATACACCTAAATTCTCTAAGGACAGTAGTTAAGATTTTGTTCTTCCCAGAATCATGTCTTTTTCACTTGGTCCAAATATTCTTAGTGGTTTTGTTTTTTCCTGTGATTCTTGCTGGTGTGTTCCTAGTGCAAAAGGTCTGTTATGCCTGGGTGGGTTTCCATGGCAGTGCTGAGGATCTATTTCTCATATAAATGACAGTGCTGACCCAGAGCCGGGGCCAGAGCTGAGTAAATGACATATAGACTGCCCTTTGTGGGATGTGTGTGTGTGTGTGTGTATGTAGCAGAAGACAGACTGAGAATACTAACAAGTGCTAAAATAACATTGGCTTCACTCTGGGGTTCGAGTCTTTTTATGTTTTCTATTTTTCTGGAGCTGCCTTATTTGTCTCTCCCATTCTGCCCCTTATTTTATGAAGATTTTTGGAGTTATTGCGAGCTGTCTTCTACTTCTCAGTTCTGATTCCTACATTGGGTATTCTCCCAGGCAGGTATTCCACTTTCACAAGGAAACATCTCTACAGTTCTTTAACTGTATCCCCTGGGTAAACGTGGCCACCACCAGTGTCTGTGTGTGCCACTCAGTGGGAGGAGAACCTTAACTTCCCAGCTCTTCAGACATCATTCTTTAATGTGCTACCTCAAGGAGTCCACCAGACCTGCTCCCAAATTAAGTGCTGGTAGATGAGAACCTAAAAGACTTGTTCTAACTCTACTGGTTGATGAGCACCTGGAAGACCTTTCTAACCCCAGTCTTTTATACTTCAGTTTCTTTTCTTTCATGGATAGACTTGCTTCACTTCTTTGGAAAAATGCTGTGACCCTTTCCTCATGGAAAGCATGTTACTTATCATTATTATTCATACATATGACAAACATAAATTTCTGTGGATCTCAGGGAGGACATATATTGTGTACTTTTTACCAGTGCATATGTTTAGCTTTTTATTTCTTCTTCTAATGTTTTACCACATGTGTGTGTGTGTACATATATATATATTTAAAGCTATATATATATATATAAAGCAATAATTATATTAATGAACAGGCTGTAGGATTTTACTGCATGTTTTCTACCTGATTTTCTGTTTTCCATGGCATCTGAGAAGGAACACATGTGCATGGCTTTTACAGAGTGTGTGCTCTGTTGATGCTGCAGGATGTGTGTTTCACACATTAATAATCAGGAAATAAACTAAATTCTGGAATGTTTTATGAACCTACTTTAGTAATTTGTTTGAAAAGTTGAGGCAGTTTCAGATGGAAAAAAAAATAATGAAAAAATTGAATGGCAGAATTTAAAGATTTAAATTTCTCCCCTTCCCTGTTTTATTGAGATAGAATTGACATATAATATTGTCTTAAGGGTATGTATAGCACAGTGATCGATATACATGTAGGTTGTGACATGACATCATCACCTGAGCTATAAAGTTTTTATTGTGGTAAGAGTAGATTTCAGATCTATTCTTAGCAGTTTTTCAATAAGCAGTACAGCATTAGGTTGTCATCTTCCCATATATAACAATCTTAATTCTTTTTTATGTATTCTATGTTTATAAGATTATCTTGATTTTGTGTCAGATGCTATAGTCAAGTTAAAAAAAAATTAAATCTTTGTTTCCCAGCAAAGAATCGTGGAATTGCCATCCCAGTGGATTTGGACAGCCAAGTGAACACTCTCTTCATGAAGAGCCACTCCAATATGGTGCAGAGAGCGGCCATGGGCTGGAGATTGTCAGCTCGCTCTGGACCACGCTTTAAAGAAGCTCTTGGAGGGCCTGCTTGGGACTACAGAAATATTATTGAAAAGTTACAGGTACAATGAGAATGTGAAATGCCAAAAATGTTTTCTAGGTGGAAAGTTTTGATACACAATCAAAAGAAAATAAATGGTTAAATTTCAGTTGGGGACCAGGCTTTGCTTTAACATTCTTTAGGAACACCGTCATTTTAAAATGCATAGTTTGTGTGTAACAGTTGTGATGATCACAAATGTGGTAAAGTAATTTACTATAAAGACTTATTCCAGAGATGAAAACAAGTTCCCTTATTTCAATTTATTTGACAGTTCCTCGGTGAGGACAGGAATAGGGCATTGCAGGGAGAGAAAGTTGAAGGCCAGTCACTGAGCAAGGACATGCCTTAAGCTCCTTTATTGCTTTTTATTGAGGTAATCATTTATATTGTTATTCTGTTCCAGAAGAACAGGCTCTCCCCACTCTAGGAGTTGTTGTCATCCTGTCCCTACCATCAAACTAAGCTGCTTTTAGGCTAGACAGGCAGTCTTCAGTAAGGATTTGGTGAGAACTGTGCCAGTCACAATGTACTGGTTGTAGAACACAAGGTCTGTGCCTTTAGGACATTTACATTTTAGCTCATTAATAAATATTAGATAATTAAAACAGCTATGGATAAAATAAAGCAGGGTAGCTGCATGGTAGAAAATTACTGGGAGAATGATTCTATCATTAGAGCGATGGGAATAACGAGAGGCATAATCTATTTAAAAAATTGAGATCAGCAGTTTCATAGGGAAGAAATAGTAAATGCAAAGGTGCTTATGAAAGAAAGAGTTTGGGAGGTTTGAGCTATCAAGAGAGGGCTGTTGGGACAGGAGTTTGGTAGTCAAACGAGAGTATTATGAAAGGCAGAGTAAAATCTTGTAGGCATTTAAATGCTACAGCGTTTGGATTTTCTAAGTGTGATGACAGGTGACCGAATGCTTTCAGTAGAGAAGAAACATGACTTGGTTTATATTTAAGGAGTTAAGTGTGGATTTTGAGCACTAATTCAGGCCAAAGGTCCTTGGCTTAAGGGAGTAGCAGTAGGCATGAAGAGAAGAGAAGAGAAGAGAAGTGGGTCTGTCTACTTGTTGGCTCAGCTGGACGTGGTGAATGGGTGACTTGGTGAGTGGTTGAAAACGAATTGTGAGATGGTGAAGGAGCAGTCAAGGGTGGTTCTGGGTATGATGCAGTTGGATCATTTGCTAAGATAAGGAGAAAGGAGAGTTGCCATCAGTGTTCCTTTTTTAAATTAAAAAAAAATTTTTTTTAAAGATTTATTTATTTGTGCATACAGAACTGGGGTACAGGCCAGAGACTCAGAGGTGGCGAGAGGCTTCACCAGAGACACAGTGGGGAGCAGAACAGGCAGATTGATGAAGTACACTGCTGAGGGGAGCAGCGGGTGGGTCAGGAGAGGTCTGCCTCACCATGCGGTCACCTCTGGGGCAGGTGGAATCGAACTCATGCGGAAGTGGCTTAAGCTTCTTAGTGCTGTGCTTTAACCCGCTGCACCACCAGGGAGGGCCGCCATCAACGTTCTTGATGGGGAATTTTGCACTTGGGATACCCACTTGCATATCTGTGTGGGCGTGTTAAGTTAGTGGCTGGAAACTCAAGTGTGAGTGGTTTGGAATGCTGTCCATGGAAGGAATACCAACAAGGGAAGTTTCATCAAGGATGTGATAATGAAACCATGGAATTAGGTGAGATGCCTCATGGGAAAGTGTAGTTATTGATGAGAAAGGACTAGGAGTCAGGGAAGAAATGGTCAAGATGCACATGTAAAATAAAGTATGATGGTGAGAGCCAGATCAGGAAGTGGATGAAGGCAGCAGTGAGCTGTGCTGTGCTCTTCAGGGCCTGGGTATGAAGACAGAGAAGGATCCATTGGATTTGGCAGCACGGTGATGAATTCAGCTACTGGTACTTGCTAATAAGGATCACTAACAGTTTCTAAGGATTAATAAGTGATGCTGACCTTTAACCATTCCATCAGGTCCATGTGATGGTGGTGTCCTGAAACTTGTGGGGAAATGAGATGATGCTTTTGCATTGTTGGCCCGTGGTCAAAGAGACAGAGGCACATTTTTTTTTTTTTAAAGATTTAGTTATTTATGCATACAGAACTGGGGTATAGGCCAGAGGTGCAGGGCAGAGTGGGGAGCAGAACAGGCAGACTGACAAAATACACTGCTGAGGGGATCAGCCAGTGGGTCAGGAGAGGTCTGCCGCACCATGTAGATCACATCTGGGGTGGGGATCGAACTTGTGCTGCAGCGGCTTTAGCTTCTTAGGGCTGTGCTTTAACTCGCTGTGCTACCAGGGAGGGCCCGAGACAGTATTTTTTGTCTGAGCACCATTTTTGAGTCAGTGAAATGAAGAAGAGAGGCCATCTGAGCAACAGGTGCATTTTAGTGCTGCTTAATTTAACATGATTATTCAATGGAAATATGCTCTTCCCGCTTTCATGTAATATCTCATATGTGTACCTAACTACTTTTTGTATACACTAGACACTACATATTATATCTCATATGTGTACCTAACTACTTTTTGTATACACTAGACACTACATATTATATAAAGGATGTGATATTTGCTATTTGTTATACCTTCCTGGTATTCTGATTTTCTTTTATCAGAAATTTCTCAGAAGCTCATTTAGACTAGTTAATAGTAAATGATTAACATTAACTCCTTTAATCTAGCTCTAAGGAAATCAAAAGTCTTTCTTTCCATGTTGCTTTCCCTGAGACTAACAGGAAGCAACTGACAGTTCTCTGCTTAACAAAATATACCATTACCGTGGGTGAATAAAATGTGGGGTTATGTGAGAAGATTTTTTTTTTTGTCTTCTAACAGTTATTTTAGAAACAGAGGGGGAGGCTTTAATCATCAAAGAATGTTTAGTAAATGATTGTTGCCTATAGTACATCCAGAAACATGTCAGTTAGGATGCTTCCAGCTATAATTAACAAAATGTTCAAGTAAAAGTAGCTGAAACAACAAAATAGGTTGTTTCCTTGTGAGAAACCTGCACTTGGGTTTCCCCAGACTGGTGAAGTCAAAAAGGCCCTCACAGGCTGGTCTCTGAAGGTCACATCAGCACTGCCTGACTGGGATCCACACCCTCCAGCTGTCATGAGAGTCAGGAGTATTTCCAAAAAAGCCTGCCCCCCTTCCAGTCCCTCACCCCCACCCCCTACATACACACACATTCTGTAGACTTCCCCAGTATCTCATTGGCTAGGACCGTATTATCATCATACCCAGACCGGTCACTGGCAGGGGAAGTGGCATCACCCTGACTGACTTACACTTATTGACCTTGATCCTTGTCTCCTTGAGAGTATTGCTGCCTGATTCTGAAACAGCATGGAAACTCTGTGAGGATGAGGGTGAAGAGAGGCCATTGACGGCTGTATTGATCAAACATGTACTTTGAAATATCTTTGGACCTGTGTGGAAAATTAATACTGCTTCAAATAATATACCAAGGCATGCCACCATGGCAAGGAATGGTTTTCTCCAATCACCAGTGACACTGGAATCATCTCTTCCCCATCATGTCCTAGTTCTTTCCAGTTTGATGAGTACCTGTCATGTTTCCATTCTAATCCTAGACCAGCTGAAACACTAGCTTTGCTGGCTTAGCATCACATCTGTATTTCCTTCAAAATCACACAGCGGTCCACTCCCCTTCTCTAGAAATGACTGAGGAGACCAGCTGCACCATCAGCTGAGACCTCACTCGGCGTCCACCTGGGGCTGCCCACAGGTCTTCTCTGCTAGGCACTGGAGTTTGTCATGTCTTTGGAGGATGACATCTCACTGGGGTCTTCATGAGGGTCTTCTTGTGCTTCCTTCCTCAGGACGTGGTGGCCTCCTTGGAGCAGCAGTTCAGCCCGATGATGCAGGCTGAGTTCTCCGTGCTGGTCGATGTGCTGTATAGTCCGGAGCTGCTGTTCCCTGAGGGGAGCGATGCCAGGATACGATGTGGCGCCTTCATGTCCAAGTAAGAGCTGGGGTCATGTCCAAGTGCCGCTGGGGTTCTGTGGCGCCAGCAGACAAGCCACCTGGGCAGCCCTGCTTTCACGCTGCTGGTGCATGATGGCCACCCGTGGATTGTGGGGAAAAGGTCCTTGTTCAGATGTACTTCCAGACTCATTTGAGTCAATTGAAATTAGAAGCTATCATGATTTACTAAAATTAACTGAAAATGAAATGGTTGTTATTGGACACAAAAAGCCATAATAAGCTGGCATTTGGGTTTGATTCTTTTCTATAAGTATATGATGTGGCTGTTTACCACCACTGGTTTTCAGGGAAGGATGGAGATGCCATGGGCATTGTTTGAAACATGCTCAGGTGTTCACTGGCGCCTTGGCTAGGCTGCTACCTGCTGCCATCCACGCTCTATGTCTTTACTCTTCAGAAAAGAGTAAGCTTCAGTTAGTTGTTCAGAGAATTGTTTTCTGACTCAGCATCAAGAAGCGTGAACTCAGTGCCCATTTCCCGAACTCAGTGCCCATTTCCCTCTCTCATCTGTTCTGCACAAAGCCTCTGGAGGTGGTGGCCAGTCTCACTGGGGAGACAGAAAGCTGAGTGAGGCTTAGGGATGTCTCAGGCCCAGCACGCGGCCATGCTGCCATGGCGATTCTCACCTGCAGCATTGGTGTGTCCTTATTTTTCTCAGCATTTATGTGGTATTCTATCAGTCAAGTCGATGTGTTCATCCTAAAATGTTTCTTTTTAATAGTAAGAGGAAAATCTGCTAGTCTTCTCATGGACAATATCTGCCAGTATAAGAAGTTGTGAGAAAAAGTGCTGCAAGCCTCAGAAAGAAGAAGCATGTCTCCATGTGGAGGGCATGTTCCCCAAGAGACTGGCTGTGCTGGATCTTCCTGGGGAGACACCTGGGTGGGGAGGTGGGTGAGGATGCCAGTGCCCTTGACCGTGATCCATCCTGGTGGTTTCAGGAGTAGGGAAGGACGTAGCTGACAGAAGTCCCAAAACCTGTGCTGTGACCGTGATGCACTAAAGCAGTCAGTGAAGAGCTAGGGAACCCAGGAATGGCTCCTGTCTTTTACCTGTTAAAGCTGAGATCTGGGGAAACTTGGTGTGAGATGGGAATTGCCAGTGGGGAACGTGTTGCAGAATGGGTAAAGCTTCTCTTTTATGGCCAGGATTCTAGATTCTTGGCTTTAAATCCATTGTGTCTTGAGGAGACTGGGGAGAATGTACTTGCTGGACATTTGCCAGTCTTCTACTAAGAATTTTTAAGTGATGAGCTCCAGAATATCTACAAAACTGATGAGGCCAATAAGAGAGAGGGAAAAAAAAATTGCCAAGTAATGCAGTATAAAGAGTTTTTGAAAAATGCCCTTCGTTGCCTATGAATCTGTATTAATGTACAGAAGATATATTTAAAAGAGGGCAATAAGCTTGAGGAGTTTAACTCAGGAAATGAATGCACTGTAGATCTCTGAGTCTGGGTAGTCTAGACCCAGGGCTGCTGCACTCTGCCTGCAGGCCAAATTGATCTCCTTGTTATTTTGGTAAGTAAAGTCTAGTTTGTTTTTCTCTGCTATATCTTTAACATAATTTTTATTTTTGAATCACCTAAATGTTCAGAATAAAAAATAGTAAGAGACACAAAACAATGCTAATAAACTTTTATTGAAACAGCGTCAGGTGTTCATGGGTACATCTGCTATGATGGTGGAGCCCACCAGTTGCCACCCAGACCTACAGGACCCACCAGGCTTTGCTATTCGGCTCTTCAGAAAAAAAGCTTTCCAACCTGGCAACAGAAGTAGGCTGTCAGTGTGGTTCTCCTGTCTCCATGTGACAATTTACATGAAGATTTAATTCCTGAAAACATTCAGCTCCTCGGTCACAGCACCTGTTTAAGTGTTCAGTGGCCATAGGCAGCTGACCAATTTGACAGCAGAGATGCAGGACATTTCAGCTGTGGCAGAGAAAGCTCTGTTGGATATAGCCTCTGAGAACTTAGAGACACATGTCTTTGGAGGTGATATAAAGTCACTCCGAGGAAGTGCTGGTCTGTGCTGAAGCAAGATTGGCCTGTTGCAGGCTTGGTAAGCATCCAGGAGAGGCAGGTTGCTGTCGGGGTGGGCAGCAGGCACCAGGCGCTGGGCTGCAGGCAGGTGGCAGAAAGGATGTGTCCACATTGTAGCAAGATTTGTAAATGGGTGGATTGTCTTGATGCTAGGTTTTTTTTTCTTTTTTCTTAATCACTTTTTTTTAGCTTTATGTATGAAGTAATTTTCTGTATATTTTGACATTCTAAAAGTAGAATTTCTAGAATACCTGTTTCTATAAGCATGAGCAATGAAAAGCAGCTCAGTGATGTTAATGGAAACCAGACCATAGCTTCCTATGCTAAGGTCTCAGTGTTGTTCATTATCACTGCTATATAATTAGTGTCATTTAAAACAAAGAGAATAAGATGGTGTAACATAATATAATAAAATATACTGCCAATACTCACATCTCTCTACAGGTATGTTTTGTTCATGAGATGGAATGGAAGAGTTTTAGTTTTTCAAAAAGAATTCCATCCCATTCAAAGTATGCTACCTGGAAATAGTGAAGCTTTCCACTGCCTGGAAAACAAAGCATGTGGAGCAGCTGACTTGTAATTTAAAAACTTTAAAGTTTCAAAACTTTGTGAAATTTATGGTTTACTTCATATTCTCAATAGTATGATGGCTTTCTTTTTATTATACAGTGTTAGTTCATAGCGTGAAGAGAAATCACTGTCCTATTTAAAGTTTGATCTTTTGTCTTAAGGTTGATTAATCATACAAAGAAATTAATGGAAAAAGAAGAAAAGCTGTGCATTAAAATTCTTCAGACTTTGCGAGAAATGCTGGAGAAGAAAGACAGCTTTGTGGAAGAGGTAATTTTCTTTAAGTTTTGATATTCTTAAATTAAGGTGGAATTTCTAGAATACTATACCAGTATATTACAACAAGCTAGTATGTGACTACAGGTATTATATTTTAATGGTATATGGTTTATAGGAATAAATAATTTGAGTTTTTATAGTCGTCTTTTTTGTCTGGTTTGATTTGAGAAATAGCTAGGTCTAGAATGGCACAAATATTTAGCATATTTGTATTTGCATTATATTTTAACTTGACTATATATACAGATAGTCATCTAGTTTCAATGGACTAAAGACTCCCCTGCCCCCCCCACCCCCCAGCCCAACAAAAAGCAACTAAGAGGCATTGTTAATATTTTGTAAAAAGTTTTGCATGCTGAAATGTCAAAGCATTTTGCATATGTTGAACTTTTTCATTGGAAATATGTGTTCATATTATTTTTATAACATTATGCCAGTGTTAAAGAATAATTCTTTTAACGTCAATGGAATAGCATGTTTCTGTTCTGAATATTTAATTAAGCATTGTACTGATGATGTTCAGGAAATTTCAACTTGTAGGTAATAAGTCTTTTATTAGCAATGACAGCTCAAGTGCTTATTCATGGACAGCTGGAGGCATGTTCAGTGTTCCAGGTGATGCACACAGACATAAAATGTGGGCTGAGACAATTTTTTAGCTAGCCTCTGACTCTTTGACATTGCATAACACACAAAACTTTTATCAAGTTCCTGAATGACTTTCTGGTCTTTTTCTTTAAATAATCATATAATATGTTTAACATTGGAGGAATTTTATGTATGCATGTATATTGATTCCAAAAAATGATTATAGTGATAGGTTGTTTTATTTATTTGAAATGTATTCTTGTATAAAAAAGAAATGCAGTAGAATCTGGGATATTGATAGAGGGGTCACAACTTCAAAATACTCTATTTGAGTTGGAAGCTTGCATCCGTGAACAAAAATTCTCCTGCCTTGCACTAGTTCTTTTCATTATTTAACTCTGCCTGCAAGGTGAATTATCAGTCAAGGTATCAGTGCAATTTTAGCAAAAGTCTCTGAGACACAGGACTCACAAATTCAATGTATGTGTTTGAGTAGATATTAGGCTTTAAATAAGAGTTAACTGAGTTCTCTGACACTTTTTGTTGTCTCTGTCCAATTCTTTCAGTAATGCTAGAGGTGGGTTGACTTGTGGTAAAGAACTATCAATAGATTCTAAAGTAGGAAAATGGGCTCAATTTAAGTTTTTGACAGCAGAGTGATACAGGTGTTAGTAGTAAGTTGTGACGAACAGCACTAAGTGTAAAGGCTTCACTGTGTGAAATGGACTATTACTGGTTTACTCTAAAGGAAAGGAGGGAGGAAATCAAGAAAGACTTTACTTTGCTATATCAAGTATATTTTAGTGTATCTCCCAGACCTCCCTAAAATAAATCACCTTGGCATCTTTCACTTCTCCCTTCCCAGCTGTCACTTGTCCAGACTTTCATGATATGGAACACTCTGGTGGTTCAGTTCCCTGGGACCTCCCAGAAGGGAGGCACACTTCACAAAATAGGATGTGAGTGGCACCACCCGGCCCCCACAGCACAGCCTTCTGGCAGAAAGTGAAGCTGGGGAAGGCTGGTGGGGAGCATCACTCCATCAACTAGCATAGCTGCGGTGAGTTGCTCCCTGGGGACTGAGCACTTGATGCAGCTGGCTAAGGGTCGCCCTGAGACTCCTGTGAGAACCCCTCAGGAATCACCAGAGCCTCTGCCCCACTGTGGTGTTCTGGGTCTCCATTGTGTCCCCTCTGTTCTCCCCACTTTCTGCTTCCTCAGTTGCCTGAAGTGCCCCTCAGCTATTCCTTGCTGCACCAGCTGCATCTGGAGTCCTGGTAGCTGACACCCACCAGCCTCACTAGCCCTAGAGTGTTCTTTGTAGACCAGCTAATGCATAGTCCTTGTCATATGTTCCAGCCAGTAGTAATTGCTCTGTCAATAGAATTACAAAAAAAAAAAAAAAATCGTGCTATTCTTTTATGACACTTCAGGCTGTTTCTGTTTCTAGCCCAAGCTTCTTGTTTTATAGATGATGTCATTGAGACTCAGAGTGGTTATGCGATATGACTGAGGTCACACAGCATGTGCCAGACATTGGATCTCTTTCTTCCCTGCTATTGTTGATAGTCATTATGTTCTAAGCATAATAAAAACAAATATTCTCTATCACTATTAAGGAAGGCTCATATATTTTTTTGAGCTTGTTTTGAAATTCAAATTTTAATTCATAGGTGGATAGACTGTAACATCAAAATAGTTAAAAGATTCAGAAAACATCTACAAAAATATTAAAGACTGTGGAAATATCGTCACTTTACTACAAAAAGAAAAAAGGCGAAAAGGACTTACAGTTAACCATTTCTTAGTGGTCCTGACTGCTAAGGACAAAGTGAGAAAAAGTGATGCCTGGAAGAGCTCTAGATTTCAGACCACTTGTTATTCTTTGTTTTGGAACGAGGAGCATTTCCATCAGTAAACTAGAAGACACCCTCCACACCCAAGCTATTTGAAAGAAAAGCATGTTAGATCCAGGATAATTCTAGTACCTATACTCGGTGACATGACTAAGTGAGATCTAGCTAGTTCTTTGTAAACAGTTGGTGCTTAATTATCTGTGTCAGTGCATAGGAGTTAAATGATGCACCAGTCTGGGTAAAATCTTATTGGGTAATGGTTTCAGAAACTGGTAGAAGCTGTTATTTTATAATTTTGCTCTCAGAGAAACCCTCACTGTCATCAGTAAGGGGACAGTGGCTGTGTCTTCATGACATCATCCACTTCCTTTTACCAGAAGCCTTGTGTTTTAAAATCATGCATATTTGTTTTCTTACAGTTGGGTGGTCAAATCTTAAAACCAAGGTGTTAATAGGATATATTTGTTCTGGAAACTCTTAGGGGAGAACTTGTTTCTTTGTGCTTTCTAGGAGCTTCCTCATTTCTTGGCCCATGGCCCCTTCTCCATCACCAAGGCCAGTGGTGCACTGCCTTCCACTCCTTTCTCTCTTCCTCCCATATCATTGTGATGTTTCCTCTTCCTCTCACTCTGCTGACACTTTTTTGTAAGGATGCTCATGAGTACATTGGGTCTACCTGGTTAGTCCAGCATCTCCTCATCTTAGGGTCCTTACTAAATCTCACCTGCAGAACCCCTTTTTCCCTGTAAGTACGTCAGTTAGGGCATAAACATCTCTGGGGAGGACCACAGTCCAGTTTCTCACAAGGACCCTTTACTGACCTGGGCATGCAGGTGTAGAGCATGCCTGTGACTGATTAAATTACTATGTATGCTCTTAAAATGTATATGAATCACAAATGTTCTTTCACATTACTGTCTTCAAAATATTTGAAAGAATTCTAATAACTTTCTATGTCCATTCTAGGAGGCCTCTGGAGCAAGCAGTGTTACTTGCACACATGTGAGGTAGAAAGATTCAGAGAAATGAGTTGTATTTAATCATATAAGTTAGGTGGTTGTCTAATAGCTCATCAACCTGATTTCTATTATATGTGTTTGAACTGTCCGCAGTAGATCTCCCAGAATTAAGTGAAGACAGAAAAACAAAGGTGTTTCCGATGAGCACACCTAATAATGCATTTGAGATCCACTATTTAAATTTAAATGTCATCTTAAAAGAAAACCTCATTTTCATTTTCTGTTTCTTTCGTCACCCATGTCAGAAATAATGTGTGTGTGTGTGTGTGTGTTTGTTAGTGTAGATGGTAAAAATAAAAAAATAGAGCAACAAAGTGTAAACTGGCTTCATGGATAGTGTGGGCAACCTGCAGAACAATTTCCAGCTCTGAGATTTTGGTTTTCTCCTTTTGCTGGCCTGCTCTGTAGGCCATATTGGGGAAAACCATCTGGTAACCATATTTTTATCCAGTATTTACAACATTTTACCTTGATAACAATTTACAAGATTTGTAAGTTATAATATATTTGATTATAACTCCTAAATTAGCTTTATATTTTTCCTTATTTCCTGCTTCTTAGTTTGTGCCAAAAGGCTGACAGGTAAGATAGGTGTGAGCCACGTCTTAAAGAGTCTCCACAGAGTAATATAAGTAAAGGGGTCCTAATTTTCTGTTATGGTGTCTCTGAAATCATCTAGTGATCATAAATGTACTGTTGTAGTATTTATTTTCCTTGACCCGTAAACTTTGAAAAATATATCTAGAAAACTACTATCAAAAAAACTTAGTGAAATTTTAGAAAATTTCCTTTTAAGAAGTATTGTCTTTTTAGGCAAGTCTGACAGGAAAGCAAAATAAATATCACAAAAACATCACTCTAACATTCTGGAAAACTTAGTCCTCCTTTAAGATTGGTCATGTTTGAAAGGCTTTTTAGGTCACAACAGCAGACATATTTATTTACACTTAAAAACTATGTAGAAGGAAAGTTATGGGGGAGAGAGAGAATAGAAAAAAATGCCTTCTAATAGCTGTCAGGGCTGTATTATTTCTAATGTTTTCTAACCTTAAAGTCATTTTGATCTAATCATCTTTCTATGACCTCACTACCACCAAAAAAAAAAAAAAAAAAAAAAAGGCTGGGAGAGATTCTCTGAATCTTTCTACCTTACACGTGTGCAAGTAATACTGCCTGCCTAGATGCCTCCTAGAATGGATGTAGAAAGTTAGTAAAATTCCCTCAAATATTGTGATGACAGTAAAGTGAAAGAACGTTTATGCCTCATGTACATTTTAAGAGCACATGTAGTAACTTAATCAGTCACAGGCAAGTTCTGCACCTACATGCCCAGGTCAGTAAAAGGGTCCATGTGAGATACTGGACAGTGGTCCTCCCAGAGATGTTTATGCCCTAACCAGGCTACTTACAGGGAAAAGGGGGTTCTGCACATTCTGTTTCATGGAATAACTTCATTATAGCTCAACACTTCTGTGCCTTTAGAGGTACCTCAAGTCCGCATCTGAGTAAGGCTCTATGTGGCAGGGCA